CCTAGCGTCTGATGGGCGGCATGTCGCCTCTAGTCCACCTTCAGCGCCTGCAGGCTGAGGGGGCATTCGGTCTCACACGCTGAGGCCTTCCAGGAATTTCCAGTTGCTTGTAGAGATAGCCGAGGCTCAGTATCTCAGAAGAATATTCCCAAGTGACAGGGAAGTAGTCCACAGAGAACAAAATCTTCCCCAGCCCAGTGAGTTTGGAGATGGCTGGGGGTTCTGACAAGTCCCGTTCCCGCTCACGTTTGGACTTTTCAGGGACTGTGCACAGATGATCCAGTCAGGTTTCTGTTCCCCACGGAGCAGTGCTCGTTAACGACACGGAGGCACCTGCCCGGCGGAATTGCTCTTTTCAAGAGCCTGGCTAGAAGCAAACCAGGAGCTGGTGTTGCTGTTTTAATCACCGTCTAGTCAGTAGACTTGAAAAGTGCCGTAAAAACTTTTTTTTCCCGTTAAAAGACATTCCCGAAGGCAGGCCCTGTGCAGCTGGCAAATTCTAGTGACTTGACTTGAAGGACGCTTCTGACGCCGTCCCAACGGGGAGGCCACGACCCTCTAGAGATGTCAGCGCTAGAGAGCTGCCGACGTTTTCATGAGCCTCGAGCGGTCCCACTGTGGCACACGACTGAGCTGCGACGTGGTTTTCTATCCGGTCTCAAACACCAAGCGTCTGTGGGTGTGACGTTGATTCTCCCTGTTCGGGCTTCTCATCTTTGTCTCAGAGAGCAGATTCTCTTAAAACACATCAGCACCCTGACAGGACGCGGGCTCCGGGAGAGCAGCGGGAGGCGTTGCCCTCCGGGCTCCCGTGGCCACGGTGCCCCCCCCCGGCCCTCGGTGCGGGGGGGGGGGGCGCACGCAGGGCTGCTCTCCTCTCCTCTGTTCCTTTCCACCGGCTGTCGTGGCGCGGACACGGTCCTCGGTGGGACAAGGAATCCTCCGGCCCTTTCTCTGAGCCTCTGTCTCAAAAGGTCTGGAGAACTCCTTGGATGCCCACCCGCAGAAGCCAAGTCACCCGGACCCCGAGTGGCCCGGCCAGCGGTGGGTCCCCTGCAGCGGAGAGAGTTTGTGTTTACAGTTTTCTACCGTCCCCAAGGCAAGCAGGCACCTTGATCCTGGCGGCGCGCCGGGGCCTTGAGCGCCAGAGACCAGAGGTCACGGTGGCGCTCCAACTCCTCCCCCACCCCCCACCCCCCACCCCCCACCCCCCCGCATCTCGCAAGGCCGGGCGGGTTAGGTGTACATAGCGAGCACGTAGCGCGCTCTCGCGGTTCCCAAGCAAACTCTCCATGTGAGAAGAATCAAAACCTGCAAAGAAAACCTGTTGCGATTTTTCACGACTTTGAGGCTTAACTAAAACGATTTCTACAAAATATATTTTGGCAAAAACACCGTGATGGCATAATCGAACATGTTAGGATCTATCTCATGGTCAGTGGTATTTCCATAAACATGAACCGCTTCTCGGTTCACTGTCTTCCACGTACAGAAACAATTTCTGAGCAGCATTCGGTTGGCTGTGAGCTGTGCTTTTTGCATTTCTGTTGAAAGTAAAGATTTGCATGTTGGATATTAAATTTATTTTTCCTCAGTGCTTTCCTCTGATGAATCTGTACTTGGTTTTTTTTCTTTAATGGGTATTTCGGATCAAATACAGATGTTACAGCAATGCATAAACTTAGTGACTGAAACTTAATTTGCCCCCAAAGATTTCTTCTTCGACTGTTTTTGGAGCTTTCACATGAGTTCCTTTCTAGAAATGCTGGAGACGGACAGAAAGCACCCCAGGCCCTGGCTCGGGCCATGCTGAGTCGGCCATGGGGTCAGGGCACCCGCAGCCAGGTTTTGGTCCGAGGCAGTATTTGCAAAATCCAATCACAAGAGACGCGTTTCGGGTTTAGCTCCCAGTCCCCATAAAGCAGTATAAGCCCTCCCGTCACCCTGTCAGATGTCCCAAGCTTTTTCTGGAGAACCTCTAAAAAAGGCCTTGTGGCAATGGGAAAATGCCCGGGATCAGAGTCAGGAGTCCCGAGGTCAAGTGTAGACAGAGCAGGCTCCTGACAGGCTGCCTGGTCTGCGGGAAGATGGTTTCTGGGCCCTGGTTTTCTGTTGCCTTGAGACTCTAGTTAATCCAGTTGATGTCTAGCGCGCTTGCACGTTTCTTGAGCTGACTCCACCTCCCAGGGGCTGATGGAGGCTCGGCGGTGGGCTCACTCGTCCCGAGAGCAAACAAACTCTTGTGTCTCAGGTGATGGGCACGCGTCAGGCCTCCACCACGGCAGGAAGTTGCAGGACAGGAAGTGAAAGCATAGAAGGGGGGGGGGTCTGAGAGGAACACATATGCAAAGCCAGAAATACAGTGCGAACTGTCACATCGAGGACATCTCTCGCAAACATCCGCTGCATTGGAAACAGCCGAACCAGGAGAATTTCCTGAAGCAACATCACCAAGGGCAGATTTCGGAGTGGTTATCAAGCAGGCCGTCTGGTAGGTAAAATGAAGACAATGTCTTCGTTGCCATCCAGGTCACACCCCCTTGTCGTTAAAGGAGGAGGTGGTCCCTTTAAAACAGTTGCCTGAAAAATACGTAACAGCTGACGTGGAGAAAGCCGTGCGAGAACCTCCTCCTGGGAGCTGCCCACTCCTGAAGGCTGATGCTATTTCGGTCCTTCCGTTCCGTCCGTCCTATATGAACTTTTAGGAACTACGGTCATGCCCTCGCTTTAGAAAATCATGTTGACTGCAAGAGAAAGCCTTTGGGAGCCTCCTGTCAGGAGGAGGGGAAAATGTAAACTAAATTAATCCGTATGCTGTCCTGGTTCATTGTGTATAATATACCTGTGGGATGGATAAGCCTGCTGTGCTCTGGGCTTGATTGTTAAAGCGGCAGGAAGAACGGCGGGAAAACTTACGTGAGAAGGGGAAATGTCTGTTTTGGGGGAAGATAAAAAAAAAAAACGAAAGAGGTCCTTTTGCTCGCAGCTTCATCACGGCCCTCCTGACGTGGCCTCCACGTAAGCCAACAGGTTTAACAAGGTATTGCTTTTCCTATGTGTGGATCAAGGGTCTTTCATCTTGGAATCTGACTTTAATAAAACAGATTGCTCAGTTTGACAGAACCATGGTTTTTAGTGACTTTTCATGATTATGTTTTGAATAAACAATTTTGTTCTGAAGATTTTAGACCATTGCGGAAGCCAGTCAACTGTAGTCCTTTAATGGGCACGTACACCCACCTTCGCGCGGGGCGCTGGGGACAGCCCACGTGGGCCTGCAGCTCCCCGGGCACGTGGCACCTGGGCCTGGGTTTTCGCGGCCGTCCCTCCCTTCCTGGGTGCAGGGGCTGAGGTGAGACCCGTGTGCACAGAGGCTGGCACAGTCGCCGGCAGCACTGAGTCACTGCTGTTCCCCTCCTGGAATGTGCCTGAAGGGCATCACAACAAAGCACCGACGTGGCCTGTGGCGGGTGGGGCGGTTCTCAGACTTGAGCGCGTGTCAGAACCCTCTGTGGAAACCCACACAGCCAGTGATGAACATGTTCTGGAATCAGTGGTGATGGTTGCCCAATTCTGGGACTATACTAACAACAACTGAACCCTTCACTTTAAAAGTGTGTGTTTCTCGATAAAAACCAAAACCAAAACCACACTATTCCCACCCCGCCCCCGCCCCGCCTCAGTCTGCATTTCTAACAAGTTCCCAGGTGTGGCCACTGTGGCTGCCAGCTCCGTGCTTGGAGGACCCATTTGCCAGTGGCCCACTGCCAAGTACTTACAACAGGGCTGGTGCGTTTTCGGGACAAACACCTCCTTGTGTCACTTAGTTCCCACTGGGTGTTACTGGTTCGGGAACACTACCTTCGATGAGTAAGTTCGTCTTCACAGCACCTTACCAGGACACACCTCTGAAGTTACTCAGCACTTGACTCCAAAATCGTATCAATAATTCTATTACAGTTTAATCTGTTCATGCCTTAATAAGTGATTTTCTGGATCACTGAAAATTTAAAGCTCTAGAATAACAATGTATTTTTTCTTGATCATCTTGATCTTTATAGTTTTAAAACGTCCTTAGGAGGGTTCAGACTTTTGACTGAGACAGACCTGGACACAGATCCCAAATCCACGTACGTATTTGTAAGAAACACACTAACCTGGCCCAGGGCCGTGCTTTGGAAAACGCACCCCACGGAGCCCCTTTGGGAGGTTTGCCCCGAGGGCCAAATGAGCACCAGATGCAGAGCGCCTGGCGCAGTGCTCCCCACGGTGGCCCGTGACGCATCTACCATTCCAATTCTGATTTGTAAGGACGTCAATCCCACACGACAGACTCTCGAATGGCTCGGAGGGGGCCACACGCACACGCACCGGGGCCAAGAGGAAGCAGACCCTCCCCTGCCTGGGGGTTTCTGCACGGTCCTTCTCCCTCCTGCCCACGTGACTGGTATCGACACCAGGAACGTCACCGAGGAACATAAAAGTGTCAAACACTGATTTTGTTTACTTTCCATTTATTCACATTTCATGGATTACACTTCCTCAAAAACTAATACAAACTGAGATTACATTGTCTGACAATTCAAGTATTTGTTTTAGAAAACAATTTCCTATGCAAAATAGAAAGCAAACAACTTATCTGATTGCTAAGAAGTCTTACAACTGTAATGATCACGTCTGCATCAAGCAGAGTCCGGAGTCCTAACCATGACTGCCTCTGGCCAAGTCCCGGTGCTCAGAGCGGGACTGGACGGCTCCTCGCGGTCCCCTGCCGGCACCGTGGGACACACCAGTTTCAACCGGATTCTCACTTCCAGAATGAGAACCAATACCCAGGGGTTTGGGAGTGAGCCATTGGGTCTGCAAAGCCTTCAAAATGCACCGTGCTTGCATTCTGACTTCAGAAATCAAAGAACTGACAGATGCTCAAAAGACGTGTTTAACTTTAAAATGAAACCAAAAAGGCTTTCTCAGTGATAACTTGTTCTGCACTTAGATAGTAAGATGGTTTTTTTTTTTTTTTTCCTCTCCCCCAGAACAGGTAGATTCTTTTTGGCATGCAGCATATCAAAAATATGATTTAGAACTGAAATTATAAAACTATAATCCTTTTCAAGAAAATCAATTCATAAATGGTCAGACTTGTTCTTCCCTGGAAAACACAATCTAAACTGCTTTAAAAACTGGACACACATTTCTAGCCTGTAATTCTAAAAACAAAGACAGCACAACGCTCATTTTTTTGCTTACTGGGGAACGCTCAAAAGAAGGACACACACCAGTTTAAAAAAGGCCACTGGGACACTCAGTATTTGTCAAGATGCAACACAACTGATTAAAGGTTAAAAACACCTCCCTTCAGGCCACACAGACAATATACGTCATAGATCCTCCAACTAAATACAAAAATTTCAGTCTACGTTAAACATTTAAAAGCCTAATTTCTAATATTTTTGTTAAAAATAAATCTAACTAAACCTATGGGGCGGAATTTAGCTACTAATACAGCAGGGGAGAGAAGGCTGGCCCTCTGGGGGACAAAGGGGCCTCTTCCCCCAAGTAACATACAGATATTCAGGTTTTACAGGAAAATCCACACACACTCAGGCTCTTTTGTATGAATACATAATTAAAGTAGAGACCAGCAAGTTCCTAAAGGGGAAGCGACATGAAGGAAATACCGCGTCGGGAGTTCCGGCACACGCATCACACCTGTCCCTGTAATTGTCACTTGAACAGTGAGTCTTAGCAGCAACAATTTGCTAGGAATGTCAGGAAGAGAGAAAGCCACACACACACACTGATGCAAAAAGATTATGAACTCTTTTCCGGGGGGGGGGGGGGGAGTGAAAGGTGACCCAATCCTGATGCTGTTTGGCCACGTTTGGCAAACGTCCCACTGGCCACGCAGAGGCTGCTGCCAGTGTGGCACCCCCTGAAAGTGCCCGAGTGGCCTCGTGGCTCCTGGGGACCACGGGTGGGCCACCCGGGACAGAAGTCTGTGCCCTGCACTTCCTCGTCCTCCTAGCAGCTGGATAAACCTCACTCAAGGCCGGCTGGGCCACGGTTGCTGTAATAGGATCGACCACCACACACTAGAGATCACTTGTAACAAACACTCCAGAATATTCTTGATTCTAAAAAGAAAATGAAAGTAACTGCCACTCCCTCCCTAGCTTTCCCAACGTGACAGCCTGACCACAGCCCACAAGTGTACGCACACCTCTCTGCATTTACCCAGAGTCACACACTGGGCCAGATTCTCTCACGGAAGTGCAAGAATCTCATGATAAATTGTTGGCCACCTTCCGCATCTCGGGCATTTGAGTTAACCTATTGGATCATAAAATGGTTTCCCTGCCCCCTTTATAAATCTCTAAAAATTATAGCTTCTTTTAAAAAAAGTAACTGTACTATCTACAATTATTTTCTACAATTTTCTAAGTCAGAAGACATTACGTACTGAAGATCAGAACATACAAGCGTGAGCCCTCAGGCACGGACCCTGAGCCTTGAAACAAGATCATATGGTACCAGCACTAAGTGGTTAACGAGGAATGAAAGTGGACATTTAAACATTAAAAGCTGTATCTAATTCACGTGCCCAGAATCTTCCAAGAACACTAGGATCCGTTACCCGACAGCCGTGGAGAAGTGACAGCTCTGCCCGTGCATAACCATGGCTCCCTTCCAAATGGACATACTGAGTATCTTACTTGTAAAAAAGTGGAAACTTCAGGTATCAAATGTAGAATATACTTTTGTCTAAAGTTAAAGGCAACATTTACACACACAATTTCAATTCCATTACCTTATTGCATGTTTCCTGGCTCATCACATGGCTCATGTGTAGTAAAAGCTCCCAGGACTTTAGTAAGTAGCTCTTAGATCTGTAGGGTTCATCACGGTAAAAACAGCTAAGACGTATTTCTTGCTTTTGTACTATATGCTCTAGCTTTTGACTTAACTTTCATTTCTACAAGGGTTTGCTGTCCGTGGCCTATAAACTATAAGCTACCAAATTTGTGCTTTTAAACCTCATTCCAGGCAATCCCCCTCTATTCTCTTTGTCTGCAGGGGAATAGAGAAGTAACAGCACCTCAAGAGTGAAAACTACAAAACCAAAGAACAAGCTACTTGTTTCCTTTCAAAATGAAAAAGCAGTTCCTCAATCAGGTAAAGAAGCCCACAGGGTTAAAAGGCCAATGTCTGCAAATAAAAAGCTAAAGCCTCTAATGCTGGGCGGGAACATCTGGTACTGGAGGTTCAGCTTTAGAATAACAGTATGAGGAAGCAAAGGAAAAATACCTCAGTCACAGCGTGGTAGCATGATTCATTTGGAAAGAGTGCTGTTCTCCCACATCAGTCAAGCCCACCAGAGAATGCTACAGGCAAGCTTCCTCCTGGACATGGGGCGGGGGGCGGGGGGGGGCTGCTGGAAAGCCTCGCCAGCGGCGGCAGCAGACCCCAAAACCCGTGGATCGGAACAGCCTTTGGGAAGTCTAATCGATACCCTGATTTCAGCCTATTAAGAAACCACTTGTGGTCAGTTTAATAAATGAACATTAAAAATCTTCCAAAAAAATTTCATTCAAATGTATTTTACACATTAGACAGTTCTTAAGAAGGGAGAATACAGGTTCTTGACACTTAACATTTAAAGGTTTTATTGGCCATATTAATCTTCCTCACAAAGTTTTAAGTTATCTCTAAGTTCTTAGAATGTCAAAGTAAGAAGAGAAGAAAAGCTGACTAAGTCTAAGGGGCTGTGGGGGAGCAGCAACTTGGCGGCAACCCCTCGGTCCCGGTGTGTTCAGGCGTCCTTCTTCTCCAGTAAAATTCTGTGCAACTCATCTGCGTCCTCGCCCGTTTTTACCCGGATTAACATGGTGACTGGGACGGCAGCATTCCTCTCGTCGACGGGTGGGTTTGGAACACACGCGATCAGGACGTTGTTCTTCCCCGTTCGACTACACGGCATGTTGGGCGGAATCAGGACGTTCAGCAGTATGTTGCCTGTGTTTCAACAAAGGATAAAGGACATCAGAACCACACAGACCACACTACAGGTCCACAAGACTGCAGCTTTCATGTGCTAAATGTGAAATGCGAGCCCTCCTGGAGCGAACGGATCTAAAACTGGGAGCCTCGGGAAGGTCGGGGAAAAGGGCCCGGGTCCCCTGACGCAGATGCCAGCATGGTGTCCCTCAGAGAGGCCTGTGAGGCGCCGTCGCAGCGGCCAGGCCTTCTGAGGGGTGTCCGTGCTCACAACGGATGAAGAATGCGTCATCCCAACAAAGGCAGGGCGGTCGGCAAAGACAGCTCTCTGTGGCTCGCCGGGAAGAGCGCTAGGAGGGGATGGCGTCACCCACGAGTCAAGCCCACAGGGAAGAAAAAGCCACGCAGAAGTTTCTGCAACCCAGCCCGGCAGGGCCTAGTGGTACCCACCGCTTCTTCACAGACCAGCCCTGGCCGCACCCCCCCACCGCCCCCCAGGCTCCTCCAGGCACCGCCACCTCCTTCCAGTGGGTTGTTCTAAGGGTGGGGCTGGGGCAAAGGGGAGCTGGCAAGGTGTTTATGGCTATTTCCTACATAAAGCAGATTCCTTTAAACGGTTAGTCCCCCTTCTGTGTTTATTAAGCCATCCAATTTACCTACAGCTTCTTAGTCACATTTCTTTTTTTTTTTTTTTAAAGATTTTATTGCTTTGACAGAGAGACACAGCAGGGGGAGCGGGAGAGGGAGGAGCAGGCTCCCCGCCGAGCAGGGAGCCCGATGTGGGGCTCGATCCCAGGACCCTGGGACCATGACCTGAGCTGAAGGCAGACGCTAACGACTGAGCCACCCAGGCGCCCCCTTAGTCACATTTCTAACACAAAGTGAAACGAAAACCATCTTGGTTACTTCTTTTAACACATCTGCGGTTTTCTTACACTCTGTTACGCTGGCACTCAACTCAGCCTATAAATCATCCGTAAATACAGGGTGCATTTGATCTGACTGACTGCTACTCTGTCCCCCAAAACACACTGCTCTACTTGAAAAACCTCAGTGACCGGAACCAGCGAGGTGAAGGGCTTTTATACACTACGTGGTTAGCGTGATCTTGTGCCACCTGAAAAACAAGATACCCACCTAAATTGGTGTCTGCCCGCACTAACAGCTGTGTCTTCTGATTGGCTGTAGGTTTTAAATGCAAAGTACCCACACCTTTCTCTTTAAATTCGTTGTCTTTCTTGTAAAACAGTTTACACCTATAGAGAAAAAGAAGCAAGGCCATCAGATACTCAACAGACAAGTTTTCTAACAACCGCGGTTCACACTTGTGTGGAAAGATGAGGAGGAAACTTTGATCCAAACTTGGTCTGGGTACAAACCCAAATAAGAAAATCTGGTTAGATATTCTAGAACCCTTCCCTATTCTTCCCAATTATTAAAATAGTGGGTCATGTGCAACTTGAAAAAAAACACTTTCTGAAGCTACCTATCCTCAGTTCAGTCAAAACCACAGCAAACACTCCACACCTCTGATGTGCTCCTTTGGCCCTGAGTTCAGGAGGCCAATCTGGCCCTTTCGGGACAGGAACAAATACAGGATCCTCTGCCCCTCATCTCTCTTCCCCTTCTTCCTATTTTTCAGTTTTCTTCATGACTCCTTCAATTTTTGATCTACCAAAATGCTGAAATTTTGGAAATCACTTTTTTTTAAAAAAATTCATTTGAGAGCAAGCGAGCACAAGCCGGGTGAGAGTGAGAGAGGAGCAGGAGACTCCCCACCGAGCCGGGAGCCTGCCGCGGGGCTCGATCCCGGGGCCCCGGGAGACCATGACCCGAGCCGAAGGCAGACGCTCAACCGAGCCACCCAGGCGCCCCGGAAAACACTCTGAAGCAAGACCTAACTGACAATAATGTAATCAAGCATCTTCCCAGCCTGCTCTGTCATAATCTCCTTAGGTCATGAAGACACAAATCAAAACCACTTCCTGCTCCTTCAATTTATTCCGATTAGGAAAAAATCCTTTATAGGTCATCTGCGTAATTAAATTTAAAAACAAGCAAAAGGCATTGCTGGATTCTTTTTTTTAATATTTTATTTATTTGACAGAGGGACACAGCGAGAGAGGGAACCCAAGCAGGGGGAGTGGGAGAGGGAGAAGCAGGCTTCCCGCGGAGCAGGGAGCCCGATGCGGGGCTCGACCCCAGGACCCTGGGATCACGACCTGAGCCGAAGGCAGACGCTTAACGACTGAGCCACCCAGGTGCCGGCATTGTTGGGTTCTTAAAAAGTTCTCAGAAATAACAACACTTGGGAATTCCACAGGATATGGTTATTGTTACAAACACTGACGCCGTGTGAAATTTCTGTATTTAAAAAAAACACACCTAGGGAAGGTTCTAAAATGGTACAACTGACTTTTCTGTAAACATGTTTGTTAAAAAGTACTAATTTCATTTCACTGGATGAGGTAATTCAAAATTTCTCCTTGGCTTTCTTCTGAAAGCAACAACTCTCACATAAAAACAAAAGTGAACCAAAAAACAAAACTGTTCTCATCACTGGGGAGGAAATAAAGGGCTGGTCACTATGCAGAACGTTTTGGCTGAGAAAACCCACAAGAGCCAACCAGGTCTCCAGGAGGGGATGACACCTCCTGATGAAGAGCGGAAGTAAAAACAAAGGTGAAGTCATTGAGCAGGGGGGTGGGGGGGGGAGAGGAGGAAGGGGATGGGGGTGGGACGGTCAAAGAAAAGCCTGTCTCTAAAGCACCTCAGAAGAAAATACTAGAAAAGAGTAGGCAATGACCAGCAGGAAATTTCTAGAACCTGTTTTCAAATGAACAGGTCAAGAATTCTCCCTTGTTCCCATTTGAAGAGCAGGCCCAGCCTGACCCCAGGACGGGATGCTCTGCAAATCCTGTGGGGCTGAGGTCGCCCCAGAGGCCGCCTTCCACATCTCTGAAGACATGCTCACCACGTGGGTTCCCGGAACTCTTACTTACTTTTTGGAGTAAAAAGCATCTTCTTCTTTTACTTCAGTAACTACTACTTTGGGCGGCTCGTCATTCTCTTCTTCCTCTCCGCCTTTTACAAAAACAACACTAACTCAGTAAAATTCAAATCAAGAGCTTAAAAATGTCACAAAAGTTACCCATCCCCTAACACCTCAACCTAAATATTCCCCGTAAGCTGATGCAGAAATCGAAAGCACACATCTAACTGGGGGGAGATTCACTGGATTTTAATCATTTTGTGAAAAATTAGGATAATTTTTAATGGGAACATGCTTCTCTCTTCTAAATGTTAATCTGTAGAAAGCCCTAGAATGAGAACTTGTCGATGCTTATGATTCGGTGTGCCAATTTTAACAGAAAAATAAACACCCGCACAGACTCAAGATCTGTGCCACTGGAAAAGGAAAATCTCAGACAGGCTTCTAAACACCTTCTCCCCAGATCTCCTGTGACACTGGGTGTGTCATGCTGAGGTATAATCAGTCTCAGCGATGGCCAAAGAAGAGGACAATAAAGCTGGTTACAGGGCAGGCTGTCAGAGAAACCACCCCAACGCGTGAGCAAGCTGCATCTGTGAGGCCCCATGTCTGGAGGCTCAGGCACCAGGCGCCCTCCCGGGCTGAGCCCCGGCCCCGGCCCCAGCCCCAGGCGCAACCTAGGACACGATGATGCAAACAATGATCCTCCGGAGAAAGACCGTCTCAGGACACACACTAAATTAAACAGCAACTCTCAGAAAAACAATTCTGGTGCCCCAACAAGTCAAAGTGACCAGATTTAAATTCCCAAGAAGGCAGCCGTGAGCGAGGCTCTCCAGGGCGGGCCCAGGCAGCAAGACTCGAACACGCTCACAGTCTCTCTCGCGCAGGGAGAGGTGCAGCGGCCACCAGACAAGCAGGGGGGGCTTTGCCCCTGGGCATCTGGCATCCTGCGGGGACCGAGCCTCACTCACGTCCCTCCCACAGGCAGCCTCGCCGTTCCTGGGACCGCTCTAGCAGCAGGACCACCCTCCATCGGGCGCATTTAGGGCAGAGAAATAAAAAGGGAGACCTTTATCCTGTGCTTTGCTCCGGAGGGCCCTTGCCTGAGGATGGACTCGGAGGAACGGAAGTTACCCTCCCAGGAGAAAATGGCCGGTTTCCTTTGTTCTCAAGTACTGAGAAGTGAACACCTCCTTCGAGACGTACTTTTTAACTGCTCACAAATAAGTGTCTTCACACATGTGTTCACAACCACAATGGGATGAGGAGAGACTAGGCCATTAACCCCTCTTTTCAAAGAGCTAAGAACAGGGAGTGAAGGGCCTGTGACTCAGGCCCGGTTTGGAGCACTGACGCCACCCAAGGTGGACGCTTCTGGAAAGGTGGCTGCAGTCCAGACACATCGAGGGACACCTCCACCAATTTGTTCCTGGGCCTATGCAAAGTCTACCTTTTTTATTCACAGTAGAGTACTATTTTGCCATGAGACTTCACCTATGATTAAATCTCCCAAATACAAGACATGCCACGGACATTGATGAGCAATTCTTTCAGTAAGAAACAATAGCACTGTTAATTCACTGAATTTTTTTATGTGCATTTAATATTTTTCAAAGTCACTGTGCCCGATATGGTTATACTCTTCATTTTTATTTTTATATTCTCAATCCTTACAGTAGCCCTGCAAAATAGGTCTTACTCCACTTTACAAAGAGGGAAACAACAGACTCAAAAGCAGCGGATCAGCTGTGTCCGAGATCACATCCAGGAAACGACGTCACAGCGTGAATCCAGATCCACCTGATTCACAAATCTACGTTCGTGCCGCTAAACCCGAAACTCAGATCCAAGACAGACTTAGGAGGATAAACTTTATTATTACCTTTGTATTCGCTACTGCTGCCTTCAGCCTGTACCTCCAACATTTTCGTGGAAAATGGTGAAGACACCGGTTTATTCTGGGTAAGCTCTTTGCCAAATAAACTGGAGTTTCCAGAAGAAAATGAAAATGCAGTCAGGGGGCCGGAGTTTAAAGAGCCCAAGACAGAACTGTCGATCTTCTTGCCGAAGTTAAACGAGGCCCCTGCAGCTCCTCCAGGTGGGTCCGGTGGCTTCTCAGCGGTGTCCTCCACCTTGGTGCCCGCAAACGCCAATGTCGAGTCTCGCTGCAGTTCTGCTGCCCCGAACGGGGAAGGGGACTGGGTCGCAAGCGGCATTTTCTTGGCTTCGCTTTCAGAGCGTCTGCTGCCGCTGCCCCCGAGCTGCTGTTCGATACCAGTGAGGTATTTCTCGTAGTCCTTAAAGATGGGCGTCAGGTCGCACAGGGGGTTCGTGTTCACGTGCTTCGCGATCCAATCCCGGACGGAACAGTTTAAGGCAGCCAGCTGCTTGTGATAGGCGTCCCGGGGGCAGGCCGCACTAGAGGTAAGGCCGGAGGAGGAGGGCTGCTGACTGTCACCATTAGTTTTGGGAGTTAAGATCTTTTTATCGACCAAGGAGGTAGGACCATTTGCAGCAATAGATCCTATAGGGAATTAAAGTTTGAAGAGTTTACTGAGAAGCTGATTTGATAACATCACCTGGATTTTTATACTGTTCTGTCTTCGTACTTTCTGCTTTTATGGTATCCTGTATTTTTGTGACAGTTCAAGAAGTATGTGCACATCTAATATTTAGGAACCAGTGATCACAAAAATCAAACTTTATACAAGAACACGGTCTATGATGTGCTTGCATTAAAAATAATCTTTTCTTTGAAAAGGAGGCCCGCTTCCCCCAGAACTGTCCCAATAGTTAATATAAAACTTAAGCCCCAAGGCTGTAGGGATGAACATATATTAATGCAGTCAAAATCTTAACAGAAAGTGCTCGCTTAATCACACTACACATTCTGCCTCATTAAAACAAAACAGTATACATTCAGAATAGCTAAGTACAATCCAACCAGCCAGGATCACTTCCCAGAAACCAAAGAATGGAGCCCATGATTCCATTCTCTGCGGCTAATCCCAACAGTTCTTGACCAATTCTCTCAAAACAGGATCAGGGACTCACCACATCCTGGGTGACATAAATCTAGAGTGGAGGACCCGTAAGTTCCTAGTAGGTGTGGGCCACACGGAAAGTCCTTGGTACACAGAGAACGAATGAGCACATGGGAAGGCAGGTCTTTATGGAGGATCCACTAAGAGTTTCCTCTTCTCCTGTGACCCCGGAGGTCAGTTCTCAGGGTCATTCTCATTTCACAGTTGAAGATTTGGAGGCTTAGAGGCTAAGGAACTTTACCAGGGTTGCAGAGCCAGTGACTGGCAGAGCTGAGAACCTGGGTCTATTTTGGCTCAAAAGCCTATGCTCTACTCACTTACTCTGCAAACAGCCAACATCTAACTTCCATCTCTTTCAGTATTACCCTGTTTCTGCTCACGGAGTCCCAGGACCCAGGATCAAGTACAAGGAAAACATCTTTGCAATGTTATTTTTCAGATCATCTGTACACAGATGTGAGCGGGGGGAGGAGAACCTACTCACCAAAGGCTGCCTTGCTCTCTGCTGCTGTCCTGGCGCTGGAGAAGGGAGGGGCGCTGCTTATGCCACTTCCATTAGACAGTCCTTCCAAAGGCTTCCCTCCAGCACCATTACCAAATCCAGAAAACCCTCCTCCTCCAGAAGGTACAACCAAACCTTTAAAACCTTTAAAGGCCCCTCCACTATCCGACTGAAACATAAAGAAAGAGCACACATTAGAGGACTCTGTTTCATAACTAGGTAAGCAAGTGCGTGAGAATACCACATTGGCTGAGTAGCACCAGAACGCTTACGGGACAACCACTGGAGGAAAAGGAGAAGCGGGTGCAGAGACGGGACATGAGACCGACTTTACTCACAGCGACAGCTCTGCAGTCCGAAGCTGCCTTCTTGACACAGCCATGAAGATAGCCATTTACAGTGAAACTTGTTTTTAAAAATATATTTAAGATACAGAAGGCAAAAAAGACTAATGCAATAAATTTGTGTACACAGCCTCACAATTACAACTAAAAACAAACACTCTGAAACGACTAAATCCCAAATAAGGCTTTTTTCTTGTACTACTCAATCAAAGACCATTAGCCTAAGGAAGCTGTGGAAACATCAGGTCAGGCTGACTCATCAAAGTGCCTTACCCATTTTCCTATGACCTCCTAAAGCACTTCTGTAGCTTTTAGCTTCTAGAAACGTGAGCAGCTAGACCTTACCTTGGTTGAGAAATCCAGAGGCAACATTTTTATTCTCGATTTTCTTGCTATTTCCATCAGCAAAGCCTTTCTAGTAGACCCTTCCCACTGTCGCTGGCTTCCTCACATCTCCAACCCACAATGCTCTGGAAACACCTGGCACTCCTTATGAGCTTCTAAACCTGCTCTCTGTTCCTGGAAACTCTTGGAGAAACGTTCCTCAGTTTACATTGCTCTGCTAAAAATACCTTTTTTTTTTTTTTCCATTCAAAACCAGTGGTTACACCACAAGGGGCGTGATCTGCTTCCTGGATCCAAGGGAGGCTCTAGGAAATATTCTCAGAAACACATCATGGAATACATGCTTCCCAACATCTGAGGGAGTGCACAAACCTTACGTTTTCACACAAATGAATTATAATCACGATCTCACAAAAATATTACTTAAACTAGAAACCTCGTTTTCTGAATGGGTTGGTTAGCCTAATATTGCAGTTTTCAAAAAACACAAACATTTCAATCACATCCACAGGAATTTCAGATGGTTACTGACCACTGATACGATTATGGCAACAAAATTAGGCCAAAAAAGGCAAACTCTTAACTTATACGCATTTTAATGCATGTAATAAAAATAGCTTAGGCCCTGACACCCTCATTTGATTTCTGATGATTCAGTATCCCAAATACACCAAACCGGCAGCTACCATCTATGACAATACTCCACGGACACAGTGGAAGGCTCTAAGTGGCTCCTCAGAGCCTGGTATTCTGCATGAGATTTAAAATCCACAGGACATTTATAGTGATTTTAGAAACTGTTAACAGCAAATTGGCTCTAGAATCATCATGAAGAGTCAAGAACCACTGTTTAAAAGAAAAAAAAAGGAATAGGAGTCACTCAGAAAAAGGGCAGAAGTGAATGAGGAGCGGCCTGTTTGGGCCCCACGGAACTGACACGTCCCTGGCCCCGCCAGTCTCCCTCACTCATTTTTCTCCGTGGCACTTAGAGAAAAACAAAAAACGACACACTTGGTGTGTCTCTTCCATCATTAGGACGTATGTTCCACAAGGCATGGATATTTTACTTACTCCTGTTTTTACCCACCAATATATTTCTAGCACTTAGCAGGTCTGTTGAATAAAAGGACAAACCCACGACAGGCGACCCTTGAACAACATGGGGTCAGGAGTGCCGACCTCCCCCCACCCCCGCCCCCCCGGAATATACAAAGGGACGCAGGCAATTCAAACCCATGTGGTTCAACAGTCACCTGCATATGGGAAAAGCCACATTTCAGCATTCAAGCAGGCAACATAACATTTATTATACAAGTTCTAAAAGTTATAGCTGAAATGATATGTGGATTTCAACTATCTATATTCATTTCCTTTAACAGCCAGAGGGCTCCCCCACCCCCCTTCCCTTGGGCCAAGTCTGGATTGTGGTCTACACAGTTTCACGGTTTCATTCATCTGAGGCGGGGCCATCCCTCCTCCAGCTGGTCTTCCTTCCTTCGGCTTCTCAGTCTACATCATGAGCTGCCACTCTCAGTTACACCCCGGTTTCAACCTCCTGCATGCCTCCCAGAGCTGCACCCAGCTGTCACCCCTCCTCCTGTACCAGGTAACCACCCATATATGTAGTGGTCTCCTACAGAACCTCACTTGAATGTACCCCAGGCCCTTAAAATACATTTTCTCAAGTAAACCAATCACTTCCTCCCTAATTAAGTTGTCCTTCCCCCGCTGTTAACTCCTCCATAAGAGAGCCATCAAACTTCGCTAGGCTCAACACCTACATCCAACTCGTCACCAGTCTTTAAGAATGAAATTAGACCAGAGAAGACTTGGAATAACAAAACTGAACAGAGCCACCACAAAAGGTGCAGCTGAGTAGGTTCCTTCCAGCTGCCACCCAGGATGTGCACACCAGCCTCTCCGGACTGACAACAGATGCCCAGGCCACCAAGTCAGCATGCAGGTGTCCGCAATGTATTTGAGGGCTGAGGGTCGTACTGGGGCAACATTATTAAATGTGGAGTGATGGTTGAATGGAACCACATGATTTCAACTCAAGAGTTACAACTCATCTTTTAACCCTTCTAAACACAGGAAGGAAACACTATAACATACTGTATTAGGAAGAAAATCTACACGTGAAATGCTTCTGTTACAGCTAAAGGACCCCCGCCCCCCCACCCCACCCCACACACACACTCCTCAATGCCAGGGAGCATTTCCTTACTCCACCGGCTACCCACTCCTCGTTATTGCCGCTCGGGTGAAATTTGTCCAGATCTACACTTTATTTCTACAACTGGGTAAGGTGCGCATCTCATACTTATTGTTTACTATCTCCCATGGTCCCCCTCAAGGATTTTCACAAGTACAGTAAGCATTTTAAAAAATATTTATCGATCTGACTGCTCCCAGAGGTAGAAATGCTCTGCAATTAGAAATCAAATTAGTGTTTAATACCAAAAGCGGTAAGAAAACACTCACTTCAAATCCAACATTTCTACGCTTTGCTTTCTTTATGGCTCTATTCTTCAAGACTTCCTCACTGGCCACTGAGAATGTTCCCACCTGCAGGTGTACAAATTAAACAGCAGTAAGATGAGGACCAAAAGGAGAAGAAATGCTAAACAAAAAAGCCTGACCAAACTTATCTTAGTATCTGCTGGTTTTAAAGTACTGTTAATACTAGTAACAAATTATGGAGAGGGCACATAACAATAAAGTTTACATCTATTATCTATCTTACAATTCCCAAAGCTACTTAGGTGAATCAGAAATCTTCCAGGTCTACAAAAACGCAGGCTTTGAATCACAATCCAGAGGAGTACACACAGGAAAGTTCTGACAAGACTAAGACCGTCAAAAGTTTGGTAGAGGGGTGCCTGGGTGGCTCAGTCGGTTGAGCCTCCGACTCTTGATTTTGGCTCTGGGCTGTGAGATCAAGCCCTGCGTTGGGCTCCGTGCTCAGCATGGAGTCTGCTTGATATTGTTTCTCTCCCTCTGCACCTCCCCCCAACTCTAAAAGTAAATAAATAAAATGTTAAAAAAAAGTTTTGTAGAAAACTATTCAGGACCAGTTCTTCAAATTTCAAATATATTCAAAGATATGAATAAAACTTAGGATAAAAACCCCAGTTTCAAGAAGTAAAATCTATTCTTCAAAAGCTAAAAGTTACCTTAACGATCATTAACAGTTGGTAACAGAGTCAGTTCTAAAACCCAGATACCCAAATCTAGGATCTTCCTACTACAGTTTTCAAAAACAGAGTTTATTTTTATCACATATGCACATGATTTTTAAGAGAAACCTTGCCCATTTGCCTGTCATCCCAGAGACCACTGGCACACCTGGGACTCTAAGTGACCCTGCTGGAAAGCTACTGCTCCTCCCCGTAGCTAAAAGTACTATGCCCACAATCAGGAATTTGGTGAAGCTCTCTGGCTTTATTTCAACCCTTCTTTTACCCTGTAGGGCTGGCATAAAATACTTTCTGTAAGAAGCTGTCTCTCTGTAGTTATTTCAGATAATGTTAAACTTAAAAGAGATCTCTACACTTAAGAGAAGGGACCATCTGGATACCTGTCTCAAATTCAATGTAAGGTCCTTTCAGACTCATCAAAATTAAATGGAAGTCTTTTCATTCCTGAAATATGTTAATGTCAAAGCAAATCATTATATAGTCATCATAAATCGTATTAGGCACAGAATGTAACACTGTGCATAAGACCAGGAAAAAACTTAGTTATCAAAGAGTTGGTTAAAAAGCACCAAGTCATATAGAAATGTTAAAAACCCTGTCAAAATATTAATATACTTGCGATTTTGATTTCCCTAAACATATTAATACATATGTTTGTAAAGGAAAAAAACATTCATACTACAAGAAATTCAGAAAGAAGGAAGATGGTTTAAGAATAAGCTTGTAAACACACTTTTGCAGATTTCTTCTTCTTCTTTTTTTTTTTAAACTTAGCACCATTCTATTAACTCGGAAGGCTAACTTGGTTACAGATTTCCTTAGTGAACTGGCCAGGGAGCATCAAACTGCTGATGAGGCACTAAAAACGCAGCTGTGTTCTACTCTTTGTAAGAGAAAAATTAAAATATTTCCTCAGGGAAAACCATTTTTATTTTGTTAGGAAAGAAACTAGGCCAATCTAAATTCTAATTCCAATGAACTTACATTTTTAGTTTTAAAAGTTCAGGCTGCTCTTTAAAAGACCTTTTAAATTTACTACAAAATCTTCCTGAGGAACCCCAAAATGAATTTAAATTTAGAAGCAGCAGGAAATCATTCTTGAGGAAAGATCTTACCTCTTCTGCTTCGTCTTCTTGATCCCAATTCCTATCTGTCAATTCCTTCTCAGCAATTCTTTTGGCCATATTTTCAAACCTAAGTTAAAAGTAAAAAGAAGTGAAAATTGCTTTCCTAGACCAAGATATAAGAACTTACAAAGAATTTTTTTCAAGATTATTGACCTGAGAGAGAGAGAGCGTGCACACAAGCAGGAGGGGCAGCGGAGGAGGAAGAGAGAATCACAAGCAGGCATGAAGCCTGAGGAGGGGCCTGAGCCCACAACCCTGAGATCATGACCTGAGAGGAAACCAAGAGTCCGATGGCTTAACTTACCATCCAGGCGCCCCAAGAAATTACAAAGAATTTTTAAATAATTTTTACAAAGAATGCAAAGAGTTTTTACAAAGAATTTTAAAAATTCACCCTAGCATGAAATGAGATAAAAAACACAAACATTCCTGATACCAGTGGGAAGTGCCTTCCTGAGAGCTTCACAGCAGTGTTCTTAGGCTCTCAGTGTTACATATGCAATAAAGGGTTATGGAAGGAGGCAGTGCAGGTCTTCTAAGAACAGAAAGAACACTCTTTCTGAACAACGCTAAACCAGCTCCATTTGAAAAAAATTAAACCACTGACTTTTTAAAATCTGAAATCTTAAGTACTGTGTACGTAATCAACAAGTGCTTATTCCATGCAAATTACAATTAGTCTTGCTACAGGCAAAACATTTTAAATACTTAAAATTCTCTTAAAGATGATCCAGTAAAGAAGTTCATCTTTAGATAAGAACATTAATAAGGCCCTGGAAATACTTTCCCAGCACGAGTACTCTTCTTTAGGCTACAGCTGATAGAAATAAATTTCCCAAGACTGAACATTTAATTACCCCAAGTTGTATACTGCTAAGCTAGAGTATCATTTAAAAGTTCAAAATGTAATTGATATAGATGTGTTAACACTCAAAATTTATACAGGACCTTCAAGAATAAGCCATCACTCAAGTCCTCGAAAGCCACCACGTCAGAGGGAGGAGGAGACGGGGACTGACTGTGGACGCAAGCACCCAGCCAGAGAAGGTGCTGGTGCCCATCCCTTACAATTCGCAATGTTTTCTGATCCCGATGTATATTCTATAAACAACGAGACTGCACAACAACCAACAGAGACTCCACGGTAAGTGCTGTGCTCGTTCTCCTCTAACTCACCAGTTAAATGGACCAAAAACCCTCCATCTCCTCCGCTGCCCATCTCGCCCTGGGCGAGCGCCCCATCCCTTCAGGGCTCCTGAAACCTGATGAGAGCCTGACGGCCTCTGCCCACTTTCACTTGTCTCAACACCACAAACCACTATGGTTGGTCCCTTGAATTTCGTGGTCATTAAGATAGGCATTCACACGCCACCCATTTCCCTTTAGTATCTATAAAATAAAATTCCAAATGTTGACATTCCAAAGCCCTTCAAAATCTGACCCCTGTAGAGTAACTACACAGGGGATTTTCAGCTTGTAATAATATCCTAATAACACCTGAACTTTTACTTTACAAGTATGTACGGGCTTTTTTCCTGAGTGTAAAATAAATGGTTTTAAAGTCCAAACTGCTAAATACATAAAATAGGACACTCAGCCATTACCTGCAAATCCCCCTTTTTAAGGTCTCCACCCCAAATACCTGGTCAAGTGCTCCCATTAATCTTGGTCATTCAAACAAAAGCAAACAAGGTACTTGCTGACATTATTTCCTTAGTACTACCTTAAACTGTTCTGAGGGCCAACGGGGAAATCTTTCCCTGGTCAGTAACTAACACCTACACCAGGGGGCAGAAGAGCCGAGAAGCTGAAAGAGTCATTTTGGCTATGGACTATTAGTAAGTTATTAAGGCAAAAAAGGGTGGAGCTGAAATGCAAACAGTGTAGTGAAAATATAACATCTAACTCAGGCCCACAAGTAAAGAGATAACCAGCAGAGTAAAGCAACCAAAACTAATGGAGCTGCTTCCCCAGTCTACTGTATTTATCCAACTGGTGACCTAACCACAGGGCATAGATCTCCCTTTTGTTTACTGCCCCCTCCAAGTGCCCCAAACCTGCCCTGTCACAGCAGGTAGTCCAGCAGTCGCTGAGCGGTGATCCGGGGCGCTACTTGTTTTAGAAAATACTACAAAACTCTCAGTTTTGCCATTTTCTTGCTAGACCTCTGGCAAGTTATTTAATTGCTGTGACTCACTTTCTTCATCTGTAGAAGAGGAAGGTGGTGTGAAAATTAAGGAAGATAAAGAAAAAACTTAGTTCAGGGCCCCTGAGTGGCTCAGTCGTTAAGCGTCTGCCTCTGGCTCAGGTCATGATCCCAGGGTCCTGGGATAGAGCCCCGCATCCGGCTCCCTGCTCAACGGGAAGCCTGCTTCTCCCTCTCCCTCTCCCCCTGCTTGTGTTCCCTCTCTCACTGTGTCTCTCTCTGTCAAATAAATTAAAAAAAAAAAAAAAAGAAAAGAAAAGAAAAAACTTAGTTCAGAACAGTGCCTGGAACATAAGAAGGGCTTAATAAATATTATTAAAGAAACAAGTTTTGCTAGAAGCAAAGACTATAAAATAATATTTTTCCTCAATATTGTAAGAAGTATAGAGTGGGAGATGAGAATTCAATTATGAGCCAGGCTTTAAAATATATTTTAGCAAATCCATATTTTATTTCAAAGCATGATGCTCCAATTTTCTCTTTTTTTTTTTTTTTTGTGCAAGAAGAGGAGGAAAAAAAATCTCGGTAAAGTACTCGGAGCAAGGCCCAGCACCTAAAGAGTCTTAAGTCCTGGCTATTATTAAGAATTTAGGGGTGCCTGGCTAGCTGAGTGGGTGGAGCATGCGACTCTCCGTCTCGCGCTTGTGAGTTCGAGCCCCTACGGTGGGTGTCCAGACTACTTAAAAATAAAATCTTAAAAAAAAAAATTTTAAAAATGTGGGGCTTGTGGTCAAAAGGGCACCCGATTTTAAAATGATTCCTAGGTATGAAACACTGGTAGGAAACTGAGAGTTTTCATAATTGAAGAAATTGTGTCTGCTAAGAGTTATGTGATCTCTGCCACCAGGTGCTGCCTCATCCTCGGGGTTGAACCTCAGTCAACATCAGTTTACCCTAAGATGAAAATAGATGTGACCATACTTGACAGAAAAAAAGAAAAGAACAAGGGGCGGACCCCGGAGACTGGAACGCCAGGGGAAAACGAAGTCTCAAAATTTCTTCTCCGCGGAACAGAGGAAAGGGGCGATCAACAGCCCCGGGTTGCAATACGAAAGTGAAGCCACGCCGAAGGGGTAGTATAGGGAGCGAGTGGAGACGGCCAAGGAGAAAGGAGCACCGAGAGGAAGCGCTAGGAAGTAAACCGAGACCGCCAAGCTGGAATGGCCCCTGCCCAATCCGGCCTCTGCCTCCGCGGGGGCCGCGGGGGGCCCGCACCCGGGCGAGCCTTACCCAAATTGGGCGCCGCAGCCACGACAGGTCGGCCCAGCGCCCAGCTTCACAAACAGCACCCGACTACGCGCCGCTGCAGCCATCCCGCCCCACCCTCCCCACTGACCCCCAGCAGCCCGCGCGGCCCGGATTCCTCACCTCTCTCCTCCAGCTCAGGGTCCCCCCGCTTCCAAGTTCGAGTCCCGCACCCTGACCCCAGCTCCTCCAGCCCAGGGTCCCCCCTCCAGGCCCGAGGCCCGCAACCGGACTCCGGCTTCCTCCTCCCCAGGCCCGGGCCGCTCACCCCGGCTCCTCCAGCCCAGGGTCCCCCCTCCAGGCCCGAGTCCCGCACCCTGACCCCGGCTTCCTCCTCCCCAGGCCCGGGCCGCTCACTCCAGCTTCTCCAGCCCAGGGTACCCCCCCTTCCAGGTTCGAGTCCCGCACCCTGACCCCGGCTCCTCCAGCCCAGGATCCCCCTTTCAGGCCCAGGTACCGTACCCTGCCTGACCCCGGGTTCCTCCTCCCCAAGCCCGGGCCCCGCAGCCCGGCTCCCCCTTCCAGGCCCAACCCGGTGCCGGGACCCCGGCGCCCCTCCCCGGGATCGGCCCCTTCGCCTGCCACGCTGCCCGCCCGCCTCTCACCTCCCGGGCGGCCGCCGCGGCACTCGCTGGGCTGTGGGTGCGGCGAAAGCCGGGTGAGCGACCGCGAGCAGGTGCGATGTTGCAGCCGCGGGCCTCGGGTGTGAAGCGGCCGCTGCTCGCTGGGCTGAGCGCGCCTGGTCGCTTCCGGTGCGCCGAGATTCTTGAAGAACTTGGTGGTCAGCAAGCCTTGGGTCTCAAACACCATGTCCTCCAGGGGCCTCGCCTCTCTGTGTTCGGCAGTGAGGGAGAACAGGGAGCTCAACCAGAGACCGCCGGAGGAACAGCGCCGAAAGCGCTCCAGGCCGCCATTTTATAACTCCAATCTAACCCTCCCCCCCCCCCCCCCAAACCGACTCTATAAAAAGGGAGGAAAGAAACGCCCGCGTCCAGCTACTGCGCAAGCGCGCCGGAGCCACGGCGAGCAGTACCTCCCTCCGCGGGCGGTGGACCGTCACGCAGCGCAGGCGCCGGGCCTGCCTGGAAACCGTCGCCGGGAGGAGCGCGCCCGTCTCGCGCATGCGCGCGCATGCGTGCACACACGCACGCGCGGGCCTTCGCGGGGAAGCCGGCGCCCGCGGCGGGAGTTTGCGCGCGGTGGTCACGTGTCGGCGGCCGGACGCGTCTGAGGAGACGGTGCCGCTGGGATCGGTGGTGCTGGGCAAAGCGGGTTTGCGAAGCGCTAGTGACGGCACGGTCAGCCAGTGAGCGGGGCCGGGGCTACGTGCGAGGTACTGAGAAGAGACCGGCGGTGGTCGGGAACCGTGAGTGACATTGGGATGCTCGGCGTCGCCATCCTGTCCCCAAGAGCTGCGCCCCCCTGGCGACCCTGCCCTGATGGCCCGCGACGTGCCTGGCCGCCGAGGGCAGGGAGGCCTGGGACTGCGGAGCGCCGAGGACCGGCCTCAGTCGTGGAGGTGGACGCACGGACCCACTGGACATCCAGCTCGCAGTTGCTTTCCGCAGTGGGCGCCGGAGAGGCGGAGGAACGTGTTCAAAATCGCGCCACTAGTTGGGATCCACAGAGAGGGGGTCCGCGGACGCGCTGTCGCGCCGCGGGACTGCTGCGTGGGTTCTCGTGCTTGTGTCGGAAAACGACGGCGTAGCGCCGCGGGTGCCGGGGAGGGAGCGGTTCGGCGGCGTGCGCCTGCCCTGGCCAGCGGCTCGCCACGCTGTCCACCGTGGCGCTAAGGGAAGCAGGCCGGCAGGAACCAATTAGGACACTTGCTTCAGAAAAGGAGCATTCTTAGAGCAACGGCGTGGGCGGAGGGGGGTTGTGGATATTCAGGGTTTGAAAACCCCAGGAAGGTGTGTGCATCCGTGCGTGTGGAGCACCAGGGTGCGTATAAGCTCACGTGTTGAGGAGCCGTCCCGAAAGGCCCGTCTTTGGGCCACTGTGTTGAGGACTCCTTATGCAGCTGGGTTGCACGTGTAAGGGTTAAAAACAGGTGGCGCCCGCGTTGGACATTTAAAACAAAGCCGGGTTTATTGCCTGCTGTGATGGTGACTTCCCCCAAGACAAGAATCCAGAACGTAGGTGTGGCCGGGTGTGTGTGTGTTTGTTTTTTTCTGAGGGTGGATAGGAAAAGCAGTGTCCGGCCAGGGAACCGGATGAGTTGTTTCTTTGGCGTTGTCCTTGTGAAGTGGATGGAATAATGCGAACTCGCACTGTATTCGTAACTAGGAACCATGTGTTATTGCATGGTCTTTAATGGCATGCTCTTCAGTGGTTTTGTTTTTGTCAGTAAGAAGAGAACCTAGTACAGCCCCTTCTGGGTGATGCGTGACTCGCCAGAGCCATCCATCTGGTTCGTGCCAGGGCCTGGGCCTCACCTCCAGCCCAGGGTCCCTTTCCACAACCACTGGATGCCTACGGTTGGGGACTCCACAGCTGTTCGGTGCCGAGCCCCAGGCGGCCACTCTTCCACCTGCCCCAGGTCAGCTTTTCCATACTTCCCAGTACCTTTCCAGCCACCTTCCTTCCTGTTCTCCCTCCCAACCCCCAGTCTCTCCTCTGGCTTCACCATCCATAGTACAGTATAGGCACCCAACTCGTTACCAGAAGAACGAACCCTTCTTTTTCTTCATTGAGAGAAGGAAATACTATCCCAGACTTTTCCTGAGCTCCGTTCTGACCAATAGCTTGTGAATCTCCATATTTGGTTCTCTCTGTGTGAAGCTCATTCATTCCAAAATGTTTCTAGTGCCTTCTTATAAATTGAGGGGTAATTTTTTTTAACACCAAAGTATAAATTCTAGATTACTTGCTATATAATATTTAGGTTGTTAACCACATAAGGGGCACAGATAGGTAAGTCGTGGTAACCTATCACGTATATGCAGTTGACCCTTGAACAACACAGGCTTGAACTGTGTGAGTCGACTTATATGTGGATTTTTTCAATAGATGCAGTATAGTATTGTAAATATATTTTCCTGATGATTTTGTTAACCTTTTCTCTAGCTCACTTTATTGTAAAAGTACAGTGTATAATGCATATAACATACAAGATATGTTAATTGTTTATGTTTTCAGTAAGACTTCTAATTAACAGTAGGCTATTAGTAGTTAAGTTTTGGGGGAGTCAAAAGTTATACTTGGATTTTTGGCTAGTGGGGTGGGCAGTGCCGGTGACCCTAACTCCCATGTTGTTCAAGGGTCAACTGTATTTATCATCGAAATGTGGCTAGTTAAAAATCACAGCTTCTGTTCTTGCAGTAATACAACATTTATCTTGTGAGGCTAAGCCAAGTAGTACATTTACTTCTTAATTACATATTGTAGCATGAGGTGATTGATGCCTTTCTAATGCAAATAAAAGATGTATGTGTACAATAGCACTGTAGCAGACTTGCACATTATATGGTGGAATTCAGTGCTAACTGAAATGATAGCTTTAAACTGTCTATAACTCAGGAGAATAGAGGCAGTTTGCATGCTGAGCTCTCTGCCTCCATTGAATGTGGCTATGTATTTAGTGAAGCTCTTTGTAAAATTTACGGAATAGTTCCCCAAAGGCGTGAGACAGTATTTCTGAAGTCGACCTTTCAAAAATCCCTTTCACTTTGCTTAACCTATGAGGATTTTTATGGTTGCCCGAGCTGGATCATTTTCTTCCTCATGTTCAGTAAATCAGTACCCAGAGATGCTGGTTTACCTACTTTACCTAATTCAGGATGAGTTCACGGCGATGTCATCTTGCCCTTTTCCCGCTAGAGTTCCACCCACTGACAGGAACCACCATTGGGTCAGCTTTGCCACTGTGATCAAGTCATGAATATCTTGGATAATTCAAGCCTAGTTGAACCTGGTGAAGAAAATTACAAGATAAAATCTGTCGAATTCCAGCTGCGTCCGGGCCTTTGGTTCAGGTAGGCTTGAACTTTGAGATTGGCATCATTCTCTGTTAGGACTTCCCAGAAAGCACAGAACCATGGGAAGCCTACAGGAGCGCTTGCTCCTAATGTTAAGGAATTAAAACAGAGGTTGTACCGTCCGCCCTGCAGTAGGACTGCAGGCATGGACTACGACTGCCAGAGTTCCCAACTCGCAGAAGCCGCCACCTCCTTTGTATCTGGAGTGACCTCTTTAAGTCTAGAAATGCACTTGGCGCTTTACTCTTTATTGTGGATCATTTGTTGAAGAGAATCCGTGCCCTGTCCTAGAGTATCTTTTATCTAAAGAAAAAAGAAAAAAGGTTGGCACAAAAGGGTAGATACCAGGCAGTGCTGAAAAGAATGTCACACGCTGCTTTTCTCATCCTCTTCTCCAGTTCTCCATGTGGGCGCCTCGCAGTATTGATAAAATGACATCCACGGTCATGAGAAGGTAGGTACTACAGGCAGCAGAATGAAGAATTTCAGGTCCTTATCACCAGACCATAGAGCATGGAATTCTTAAATCGTTGTGCCCCAAAACTCAAGAGTTCTTGGGAAGATATACATTTCCCCAGACTAGTCTGAGATCTGGAAATCCAGGCCACGATGTGTCTACAACAGGCACCCCCCCCCCAAGAGTCTTATTTCCTCCCATGCTGCTTCCCACCTGAGCTTGAACCTAGGGGAAAGTCCTCCTCCTTTAGTTGTTGGGAAGACAGAGGTTATCCAAACAGAGAGGACAGGGGAATGAATGAAATAATATAATAGGGCGATGAAGCACATAAGCTCTGGAATTAATTGGAGTTTGATTCTTGAACGTGCCACTTGCCAGCTGGGTGGCCTTGGACAAGCTATTGAACTCTTTGAGCTCACTTTCCTCATCTGTAAACTGAAGGTAAAAATAGTACCTTCGTAAGGTGGTAAGGATTAAATGAGAGCAGGAGTGTACAGCACACAGAAAGGGCTTAATAAATGGGCCGTTGTTACTGAGACAATAGCCCCTGTTTTTAAGTTCCCTGGAGCTTTTGCCCCTCCCCACCACAAACACTATGAAAGGTTTTAATTATTTTTTCCAGCGGGATTCTTGTTTTAAAAGATTTTAGTTATGAAATGATAATTCGGTTTCCCTTTCCTAATCAAAAACATAACTAACGTTCAGAGGTTTTGGCTTCCACACCATAACTAATATAACTGCACCAAGTTCTTACAGTTCCAGCTAAAAGCAAAGAACTGTGATGTTTTAGCTGGAGTAGTTTTATGGTTAGATTTATGATTTCCAGTAGGCTTTTCAAACACTGCCCAAGGGTCAGGGACTCCCTATTCCCCTTTACAGATTCCAGATTAGACCTTTGTCAATATCAACACATTTGGCTTCATAACACAATTAATTATTAAACTGAGATTTAGCTGGATTCTCTCAACACGGAGCAGTGCCTGACCTGTTTTGTCCTAGAGATTCCACTGCATTGGGCACTCCCAACATTTCACCTCTTATGTTTTTTTATTTTTCATATCTCAGGCATCAGTGCAAAAGGATTAAAACAAACTGCTGAATTTTCTAGAGCTCTTATTTGTTTTCTCTTGAGGCTTTACAGTCACTGAGAAAACAGTAGCAGTATAAAGTATGTTTAAAAACCTGCTCAAAGTACTGTGAATTATATGAAGTAGCATGTTGTATCATTTTTCTGGGAATGAAATTAGCTGACAATTAAATAATGAAAGAAAATCATGGGGAGATGTCACGGCCCAGTGGTGGCAGAGGCACAAATTGTTGTGAGTTCCGAAGCCAGAGATCCCCGTGGGCAGAAGCCATCAAGGGCACGTTCACAGCATTGAGGCTGAGTGGCCACAGTGGATTTTGTGTGAGTGGAAAGGGGGCAGGGCTGGCAATGGAACAGTGAAGTAATTAAGGTGTATGGGTCTTTGAGACGAAGGTGGAGAGACTGCACAAGAACAGATCCACCA